GCTGCGAAAAAATTTCTTTCCTTCGGTATACGCGTCCGCATATTTCGCGTTATTGTGCGTGAGTCACATAATATACGGACGGCGGTAACAGGTGTGAAAGGCTCATAAAAGGCATGCTACATAGATCGGCGTGAGAGTGGCTCGTGCGCTAATAAAATATCGATAAGGAAGGACATCTCCCAGGCTTGCGTCGTTCTTTTTATTATTCATTCGCGGAGAGAGAGAAAGCTCGCAATTATATTCTCGATTAATTCGCTTCTCTCTCTCTCTCTCTCTCTCTCTCTCTCTCTCTCTCTCTCTCTATCGGTTCATCAAACATTTATGATGGATGAAGTTTTTAAGCGAGTCTACAACGGACACACGCAGACTATAAATCATGCAGTATCGTGGTATATCATTCTCAGCTCGCACAAAGAGTACGTATTTTTGTGCGTATTTGTCTTTGTTTAAAAGTAAATAAAGGAATGGAGAGGAGAAAGAGAAGAACCGAGGCAAGTAATTTCAACACGAATCTGCTTGTCCCACACACATTCTAACAAAAACGGCGGATTAGAACACGTACGTTCACCAAAGACGTCGGGTGGTTCCGAGCGAAATTATCCCGCGGCGTCTGCCCTCACGGTCGGTAGCTCGAAACTCGGAAATTCCTCGTCGGTTTCGATCGATTCAGCCCTGATTAACGAATCACCCTGCACTCAAGCGTGAAAACCACGCGAAAGGGCCGCATCAGTGTACAAATAACGGTACCCGGCGACGTGGTCTCGTTGTTCCGCGGCGTGAAGAGAAACAGGATTGAAAGTGGGTCGCATGAGGGTGATGATGAACGAGCGGGTCAGGACGCGCGAGGGGTGAAAAATAATGCGATCCTCGCGTGTGAGGATCGCGCGAGGATGTCGAGGACGCTTGTTCGCTCGCTGGCTCGTCGGGCTCGAAGGAAAATCGCACGGAGAAAAAGAGGAGTAGGAGGAGGTCCGGGAAGATCCTGAGAGGATGAGAGTTCCGCGTGGCCTTCTTCTCCTGCGCCCTACCTCCGCTGTGAAGGACGATTTGTCACACAGGCGAATACATGGCGAAGTTTCGTGGACGCGCTCTGGAAAACGGACGGTCGCGCGTGGACTCGCGACTGACAAATGCACGACGCGCTCGCGGCTTGTGGTGAACGCGCGTTTTGTATGCGTACAAATGGCGATCGCCGACACGGGAGACGCGTATGATAAGCATGCCATCGGGGAGTGGGATGATCTGCCGGAGGAAGCTTTCGGCTTCGGTCTCCCAGGAACGTGACAAATACGTTGCATGAGCGCGATACCGGCAGTTTTATCGTGAAAACAACACTTGGATCTCTCTCCCTCTCTTTCCTTTCCTGTTTTTCTTTTTTATCTTTATATATATATATATATATATATATATATATATATATATATATATATATACACATAGACTTGTACTCTCACTACTATATGCCTGAAGGGATTTCACCCCAAGGCTTAATAAACCTATCTATCTTTCTATCTCTCTTTAATTAAGAAAACGTCCGCGAATCTAATCAAGCGAATGCCTGGGGTGTCTTCGAATTTCGCGCAACGACGTTATTACGGCCAAGTCACGGATAACGGGAGTATTTTTAACCGCGCTGTGTTATATGATTCCCTTTTTGTAATTCTTTTTTTTTATTACTATCACGTAAATGATACGAATATCGTAATTTGAGTTATCGAGAGATGGAAAACGTTGAGAAAACGAAACGCAACGGTACGTACGCAAGACGATGATGCGCGGCTGCCTGATGCACATACACGTACAGATGAGCAAAAATATTTACGGTTAGAGTGCATATTTTAATAAATAGCCGCGTCAATTACTGTAATGCTCTTGTGCAATGAGCGTGTTCCTATAATTACGCGAGTAACGCGCCGAATTATTGACACGGGAGCGAACATTTTGCACGAGATACGGGGTAACAAATTGAAGAACCGAATGGCGGGGGCGCGGCCGCGCGGCTGAAAAACACGATACCGGATTAATATCCTGGAACTCATGAATAAAGCGGAAACATTCCCGCATATTATATCGCCGGGCGGTATTGCTTGCGCGGATATTTACAAAATCCGTCGCCCCCGGCATCGACTGTTTGCGAACGCGCTCATTCCGTATTTGCGAGATTCTAACGGCGCTGGCCAAACGATTCGCTAAATATTGACGGAAAATTACAGCCTGTATGCAGCGCAGGGGTAGATACGGGGGAGGTGAGTACCGAGATACTGCGGGTATCCCGAATTCGCGAATTCTGAATTCTCTCGCTTTATCCCCGCGAAACACGAGAAGAACGCGATGGTAGAGAAGGAAACGCTCGTCCGCCATTCGTCCAGGAGACGGCTGTCCGTTGAATTACAACGATGACAAATGTCAGTGTGGGAATTACGAAATGAAGGTTTAATAAGGTATGAGCCGGATCGCGGCCGCTGCCTGGCTGTCCCGCGTTCCCTGCAGTAATTAACAAATCCAATTTTAATCGACGGTTCAATTCGCGCTGCGCGTCCCCGCCCCTTCCTCTCCCCTTCCTCTCCTCCGCTTCCTCCCCTCGCCGGAAACGCACTCGAACGCGAGCGTCGCAGCCGTACATGCAATCGTCATATCAGCAGCGAAAACTGATTAGCGGTTCCCCTCGCGACGCAATTATTTCGCCAAGTCAACGAAATAAGCGCGCAAACGGAATAAATTCCTTTGTACCGTGCGATCCACGCTTTTAGCAGCCGTAACGTCAACTCGGCTGACGACCATCGGAGTCGGCCATCTATTAATCCGCAATTCTAATTTTCAAATTATTAATTATCATCCCGCGCGCATGAATTACGCGTGCTGACCAATGAGCTGTCGGTGGCAAATTAAAGAGGATCAATATTTCACGGCCTCTTTTACGCAGATTTCACACACGAGATTTATATGCTTTTATTTATTTATTATAAATTTATAAATAACGTCTGAATTGAAAACAAAAATAAGAAAGGGAATTATCTCATGTTTCTGAAGACGAAACACAGTGGACAAGCGCGCTTTTTGATTTCCGTTGCAAAAAATTACAAATTTATCCCGACGGACTAATGGTGGTAGCGCGCGCACTCGCGTCGCGAACGCGTCGAGGAAACGCGAAAAAAAGAAAGAACAACTGTAACCCACCACGGGGTTGAGAGAGGCAGAACAATAACTGCGATGTCCGGCTTGTTGGCCCCCGCTGGGAGCGCCCTCCTAATTAAAAATCACGAACGTCCGCGGTCCCTTTGTTACCGCCGCCCGCATTCCGGCGCAAACGGGGGTGAAAAAAAAGAAAAAATCGGTCGGCGCGGCGTGGCATCACGATATCGGCGTGTCTCGTCCCCGAAAATCGCGAATCCGAATTGGAATCCACCGTATCGCCCGTATCCGAAATTCCTGTGCGCATATACGTCAATTCCCGTGCGCGACTCGAGAAGGGCGAATCGGATCGAAAAATTGGCAATAACACTCGAAACGACGCGGGTAAAACGCGCCGCGTGATTGCCGGACCGTAAAACAAAGTGCAACGCGATGCATGCAATGCATGCGAGCATGCAGGTGCGCGGACGTCGATGGCGACTGGTATCTCCGCACCTTTTTACAACTCGCGCTCCCGTCGTATACGAAACAAGCATGCGTAGGAGAGCGCACGCGGGCGCGTCACGTCCGCGTCGCGCAAAATCTCTCGCTCGCTCGCGCTACGCGAAAATATGTCTCGACGTCGGCTGCCTTTTCGTTCTGATCTAGAAAACACGCTAGAGTTCATGTCTCATGTTTTTTATTTGCACAAATTTTAATAAATATTGTCTATTAATAATCATACAATAATCATACAGTAATCGTATAAAGCACAAAAATATTGCATGCACTTTTCTTTTTTAAAAAATAAGTACATCTAAATGTCCCTGCTTTCATTTTTATTGACATTTTTGTTGAAGAATTTGGAAAAATAAAATACAAAATATATCTAATTTTCGTGATATTTAAATATAATATTTCACTTTTCCGGATGATATTTCAAATTCCCGGAGTGCTGGAGAATTAAAGCTTTAATAATAATTATTATTATTAATTGCTTGGTCTCGTGGAGGGAAGTATCTGGAGCAAAGACGAGTTTCTTCTGATTTGTTGACGACACAAATATTTCCACTACCGCGTCGCGATACGGCCTGTACACACACACACACACACACGCGCGCGCGCACGTTCGACGCATGTTCGATGCGCATGTACACAGCGGGCGCTTTAACGGGCCACACAAAGACGGATTAACCCACGCGGGCCACCCTGGGCGGGCGTCACGCGCACGTGTGCGCGTAATTGTAGTCGCAGGTCGCTTGACGGATACACACATCGTAGGCGCGATATATTTACGGTTTATTGCGGCGCGTTTACGGGCCGAATTATAGTCGGCGCCCGTTTTAATGGATGTCGAGATTGCGGCGTCACGGCGCGCTCGTAATTTCACATCGGCCCGGTAAATTATTAAATTCGATCGGTTTAACTATTGTCGCGGACGCAGGCCCGGCTCGTCGACGCTAAGGCTACGTTATGCTCTATTAAGGCCTGATCGATTATGGTTTGCGGCCGCGCTCGCGACCGATCACGACCGGACTAGATCCGCCGACTGCGGTTAAATTCGATCGAACGGCACAATCACGCCTTCGGCTCTTCAACATAAACGATGTATTGACCCATATCGGCCTTGTACTTCACAAGGAGGCCAGATAAACAAGAATTTCCGCGGTAATCAGATATTGAAGTAATTTGATAGTTTAATAATTTAATAATACAACGGGGAGTTTAATAATTTAATAGTAAGTCGAACTCAGTACGAAAGGCTCGAAATAACACGTCGATGAGAAGTACTGATTTAACAGTATATCAGCGATTGTACGTATACGTGCGCGAGCAGTTTTACGAGAAAAGACGATTTAAACGCATGTTATATCTCTTTCTGTTCACAGAGTGTTACGTCTCCGGGTGCCAGCAACGATGGTCTCACTAAGCAGCAGCTGGAGCTCATACAGCAGATCATGCAGCAAACTCAACAACAGCAGCAGCAGCAACAACAACAACAACAACAACAACAACAATCTACCGTGCAGCAGCAGCAGCAACAGCAACCGCAACAACAACGAACCGGCGCCACGGTAGCGGTAACCTCGCAGTTGCAAAAGACACAAAAGCCGTCCGTCAAATCCATCGCGTCGCCCGGCACCACTATTTCCAACAGTTCGGGAAACGGGAATGCGGCCAACAATGCGAGATCGAGCCCCAAGCCGAAGGTTTGGAATCACTCACAAGTAAGTGCGACACATACAGAAAAATCACGCAAGCATATCACGCAATTTTCTGCGCCATCGAACCAAAGTCGAGCGGCGAGCGACGATTCCATTGATTTATTCAAGATGGAATAAATATCGCGCGATTTTAGACACCGTTTGCGTGTCAACACACATCTTTCTTTCCTTTTTGACGCCGATATTGCATGAGACAAGAAATTGAACTAATCGATTGTATCGCTCGGAAAAAAATTCGCGTCGATGAACAAGCTACGATTCGCGTAGCTACTCGACTCGCTATATACGATTCGTCCGAGGGAAGTGCACGACCACCGCGAATTCGTGCACGTCCCATATGACTTTATTACGTGCCGCATAGCAAACCGAGATAGCAAGCCAAGAGCAATAAGCCCAGAGCACCTCCAGACTGCTTTCTGCTGAAAGGGCCCTTCTTCCGCATTAGGCAGCGGAAGTATTACCAAGGATCCCGTGTACACGGCTCGTTGGAACTCGCCGTGGTAATCTTTTGTGCGGCGAATACACCGCAAATCGTATTACGTATCGCGGCCGGGACCCGTCGCTCGTAATCCCGCGCCTGTCGACGAGACCGTTCGTCGAATATTATACGCGGGAACGCGAAACAGCGAGATACGGCGCGCGCGTGACTCTTTGTGCGATATCCCGTTCTGTTCGTTCATTCTCGAGCCGAAGACGAGCGAGACCTGGGCGAGAACGATGATGAGGTCATCGTCGTTGTCGTCATCGATATTATTCCGTTTACAGACCGGCTGCTCGGTTATCGTGACTGTTGTAAATTAAAAAGAGATCCGACGACGGGAAAACCGTCGAGTAATGTGCTTGAAAAGACGGCAAATGATAAGTCCCCAATGCGCTTCCGGGGGATTTACATTATTGGGGAAGGATTCAACTGCTTTAAATATGCTTAAAATAAAGTTCCGCTCAAATCGCGTCTGAACCATTTGGGACATTGCGCCATTAATTTTTCAAGACTTCTCGACGCCGTCCTGTGAATGCAGCTGCGTATTATCTCCTGCAATTTTGGGTGAGATGAGAAGAATTTCTTTCCTTTTTTTGGGAGGGGATTTCAAGTTACATGTGAAAAATGATCTCTATAGCGATTTTAGAAATCGCGATGCACGTTCCCGCTAGCGGTATCGAACCGATCACCCTGCACTCTCGCGGGGTGAGTCCCTGCGCGGCATTAAAATAGCGGTCAAGCCGGTCCCGAAGTGAGTCCTCGAAACCGTCCAGGACGAAACATTGGGGGGCGATTAAATCCACCGTCGAGGACCATGTAACGCGCTTTAACCCATCCACGTTGGATTACACGCCACTCGTTTGATAAAATCGCGCGAATCGCTAATTGGTCGACGTCGCTTCCCTTTATATCCCTTGTCCTTCCGGCCGTCCGAATCAGAAGGCGATCAGAAGGGTGACGGCATCGTGAAAAGAACCTTTGAGCGGGTCCTTTCACGGTTCAGCGCATCGAACGCTGCGCGAAGGATTTTCTTCCGTCGCCCTCCTCGTCGTCTTTCTCCTCGCGCGTCGTCCTCCTCCTCGACCTTCTCCTCGTCCGTCGTAGAAAGGCGCGTGATTAGCGTGGAGGATCGTAACCGGAAGTCCAGTCGAATATCCCGTCCAATTTTTACCCAGCATCGTCTTTTCCTCTCTCTATCTGTCTATTTCTTCCTTTCGTACAATCTTTCATGAAGATCTTTCGCGTATTTGAATATTTCGTATCGATTTATATATTAACGATAAATTAATGGGATATTTTAAGTTAAAAAATTATAATTTCTTATTATATTTTCGCCACTTGTTTCGTCTCGTTTCTAGGCGAAACTAGAAAAATGGTTCCCTCTGCGTCGCATTATTATTATTTTTCCAAGAGCAATCATATTTTTAATTTAAATCAGTATCGCCTTCAACAATCCTGTCGAGCCCAGCGAACACGCGTGTTACTCGTACGGTATTACTGATCATGTAGCTGAGAAAAAGACATTGGCGAAGGGTATACGTAATCTCCTTCCTCGGCTTGTACTGTCGAGTGTTTGTATGAGGCGAGCAGTTGTAGCCTGCTCTATCAAGTGTTGATACAAGGGATATTAATTGGCGAGCCTTTGTATGCATCAAGTGTTGGTATAAGGAGCTCGCTCACTCTCTCCACGTACAAACATATCAACTCGCGTATGTCCGACGCGTCGGCCACATCGGTCCGGTAACAGTGACTGAACGCAAACTCCAACTGTAAAACACTCGTTATCCTTATTGAATCGCGCATAAAAGGCGATCGCGTCTATACTTTGCCAGTGATTTCCAACAGCGCGTTTCTGCTCGGTGTATAATTCGTGAGAACGTGCGAAACGCAAATACACACGAGATCGTCTCATCGTATCGTAAGAGCAAATCGATCTAAATATCCCAGTCGAAATTTCAACTCTACTTTCGACCTGAACCTTCTAGAATCTGTATATCTGTATAGATCAGTGTATGCTTGATACATATGGAAATTGAAGTCTTACTTAGGTTACTGTAAGTGGCAGCAAACACATAAAATATCATTTGCAGGTTTCAAACTCGGTAAAGCTAGTACGTTCAATAAAATTAAAGGATATTGATTCAGGCGCCAGAGGATCAATGAAGTTAAGGCCACAATATTCCGTTAAACGGAATATTGTGGCCAAAAATTCAAAACTTGTGGCCAAAGGATCAAAACTTCAACTCGGATAACTAGCGACGTTTCGCCGCTAAGACAGCGATAATAATCATCGCGCGATTGCTTCATTAATAATCGAATTAGGCCATTGGTAACTAGAGAGCCGATTGATTAATAACTACGCGCTAGCTAATGACTGTAGCACGGCACGCTCCGGCTGAACCATCGGCTGTAATTACGTTTATCGGTCGTTTGCAATCGCATCGATCGCACAGAGCGCGGCCGACGCAAGAAAACGTACGCGCAGTCCATCATCGAAGATTCTGGACGGGCCCGGCTGTATTTCAGCGCGTTTTTCCGCGGCGGGACCCGTCGGCCTCCGAACCATCGGTGGTATTCTCCGCCACCTAACTTCATTACGTTAATGGCATAATAACCATTGCGGACGGCCCGAAGAGCTTATGCGCCGGAACGTCGATGTCCCTAAACACAGCAAGAAGCGAGCGCGTAGTAAAATCGATCCGATCTCCATTAATATGTATGAGGCCTTCGCCAATGGACGGAAGGGCTGAAGGGGATAGCTGGGAAATGGAAGAGAGGAATGGGTCGAAGGGGGAAGTGAAGCGAGGATTCGTACTCTTCTTGCCCATCCCGCCCCCGTCGTCGCATTGCCGAACTGCTGCACGGCGGCGATCGCGAAATGCTCTCGGAAACCGTCGTAATTGCTTAGGAACTCGAGGACGAACGGATTCTTCGGGATCTACGCCGATGAGGGTGGAGGGATCTCGCGTGTAAAGCGAACTCGGCAAACTCGATTTAATTGCGATCCCTTACACTATCGTTATGGCGGCGAGCTTTGGCATTGTTCGCCCCTACAATGAGAACACGTGCATACTGAATCGCGACTTGGGATATACTTGAACTCCATTAGTGTGCGATGCGATTACGGCTTTCGATTTTATCAACCATGAGTCGAAGAATTCGCATACACTGTGGCTGACGCATAGAACTGACGGTGATGCAGAGTGCACTTAGTGTATGAATACATGCTACATACTTGCTACATAGAATATTATAATTTTTTTTTGTATAAATTACTTTCAAATCTAGGAAAATCAAGTCTAGGAAAATATATTATAGGAAGCAGACTGCTATCTTGCTAAGGAACGTAGTACATTTCGCATAGAATATTATAGTTTTTTTTGTATAAATTATTTTTAAATAGTCCAAGAAAATAGACTACTAGGAAGCAAACTACTATCTTGCTAAGGAACGTAGTATATTTCGCTACAAACACAACAGATTTCATTGAAAACATAGCAAGTGTTTCAATATTACATTTCAGTTTTTAAAATTAAAGTGGCACATGTGAAATGAAAGGATAGTGAATTATTGCAAAATATCGACTTGTTTTTCAGTGACAAGGTCGTGTAATAATTTTTACTATAAAGTTCTCTCTTCGTGTACGATATATTACTTTGAAAGAAACAGAAATATCTCTTGTAAGAAATAATAGACATTCGCTGGGTACTAATAGCATCTATTTATGATGTCATCTATATATATATATATATATATATATATTTTTTTTTTTTTTTTTTTTTACACTAAGAAAATATACTTGTCAGACAAGAAAATATATATTTTCTTCAAATCTTAGTTTTTCATGAAAGTGTTTATTATATTTAAATAAAAAAGTTAGATTTCAATGAATATGTTATTAGTACTCCGAATAAATATTTTTTATCGTTTAGATATTCCTTCTTTCTGCGCGCGTAGATTTCAAACTGATATATTGATATATTTTTCTTGTTAATATATTCTTCAGTGTACACTTTTTATCGCAAATTTTCTATTGCAATCCATCCCACGAGATACGGGATTCGTTTCAGGATTAATGAGAGCGCAATTGATCGTTAATAACGCGCCGATTAGCACAGCAATTCACACGATGGAGCACCCCGTGAAAAAAGATCCCCCAGCGAAGAGTCGTCCGCACACGTCTCCTTTTACGTAGCGCATTTATCTATCATTAAAGATCATCAAAGCTACAGGACAGCGCTCACGTGGAAAATACATCGTTAAATTATACTTAGTCTCATGTCACACCGATAACATCGTGACCATTATCCGCCCGCTTTATGTCGTGTCTCGCGAATATCCGCGTATTTTCGCGCATATTTACGATCCGCCTCGCTCGCTCTGTCTCTCTCTCTCTCTCTCTCTCTAAACAGTCCGCAATGTCGCGAACGCAACAACGCACGGACGTCGGCGCGAGGATTCGCGCATCGAGAACATGCGGAATTCCGGTCGTTATTATGTAATCTTATGCTCGTCTTGCGCG